CTGGATACCTTTTCGAAATGTTTATTAGTTGACAGATTATTACTGTCGCAGATCGAGCTCGAGATGATCATACGAGATGTAGCTGAGATTTCAAGTAAAGAAATGGTGCAGCTATGCTTTTGTGTCACACTTTTATCGCACATCGTATCCTGCTGTCAATTGATCGTGATGGATGTTCGTTTTTATCTAATTTAAACCAATAATTATATTCTTTAATCCATTTTCCCCCAAAAAAACTCTTTAATCTCTTGTTGCTGCTCAGTTATAGTAAAAGTGTTGTTAAAATAAATAGCTTTTTTGTATTTCTTAAACATTAATTTCAATAGAGATGCCTCGCAATTTAGTATGGTAGCTTGTTATTCTCGACGGTGGGCTGTTTTAAAAGGGAAGTACAAGTGCTTGGATAGTCATTAAAAATACGATTTTTTTTTTCCTTTTTTCAAGCAAAATTTTTTCGGAAAAAAAAATTCCGAGAAAATTTGCTTGATAAAACATAATTCAAATCTTTAGAATCTTTCAGTATTGTTAGTTTTCAATCTGGAAATATCCCAAACTTACTTTAATCAATTCTTTTATACTGTTACGAGAGACAATGGAAGTAAGCATTTATGATTAATTCTCAAACTATCATACTTATTTAAGGTTTGGTCTCATCAGCGCCATGTTTAGAAGTCAGACTTAGCCTCGACTGGCTCTCTTTAAAAAGTAGAAAAAAATCTAGAAAAAAGTATGTATTATAGTTGTATTATGCTGATACCAGAATTTCTGTAACATTCATTATTTACATTGTTTTTTAATTGTGATTATATTTACTCAAAGACTTAATGAAATAATTTTTAAAAACAGTAATGTTCGAAGATTGGTACATATGTACATAATTCGCTGTTTTAAAACGATACAAAATGCAAAACGTTGTCGTTTGTTTTGTGTTTGATAACAAAAGGTGTATTTTACTTTTCCGTTCAGTTTGTGTGCCCTTGAAGCCACTAAAAAATGGTYCAATGCTACAAAACACATGGAATAAACTTAATTAATCTAACGTTTTGTTCCGCTGTAATTCTTCCTGCAAAAAGTCGAACTGGCTGTTGATTTTGGTCGGCAGTTTTATCCTTGAATCGGCTCAGTCTAAAGCAATTGATGTCCATATAATAATATACAAAAACATTTGAAACAATATCAAAATATTACAATATCATAGTAATGTAACTATTACCGAATTATATCCGACAGGAATTCGTTGATTCTTGATTGTGTTCTTAATAGAAAACATTCTACCTACCGGAGAGCCGTATTCGTTAGAATCTTCATTGATTAGAAAAGTGAGTTAGTTGAAAATATTGTAAGGTTCTTTTGTAAGTGTATTTGTAAGCAGGAATCTTTCTGTATCATTTTAACCAAGTCATCTTTTGATTCGTCCATTTTGTTTCATAATGTTTTTCCTTTTCCTCAGTTCTCAATAATGTTTTCTTACTTTATGTCGATTAGGATTTTTCTTTCCTTGTCTTTTTCATTCATTCACTGGCACTATACCTTTCTTTGTGTTACCTTTATATAGTCTTTCGCTTTTCTTTTCTTCTTTTTTTTTTTTTTCTTTCTTTTTTTATCATTATCCAATTTATTTTTTATTTTTATCCTATATTTTCTTTTCATACAAACTTTTCCTGAGATTAAATTCTATAAGCTATAGAATTAATATAGCGAAAACTACCCATTTATCTGGAATTCCCCTCTTCTTTTTCTCTTCTTCCTTGCCTTCCATCAAATCCCCAGCATCGCTCATGCAATCAGTCTACAAGTTCCCCTTCCTGCTCTTCAAGAGCCAGTAGTTCTAAGATTGCACTAGAATGTATCGCCTGGGGAAATCTTTAAATATACTTAAATAAGGTTTTAACGAGGCTTCTATTCTTCGATATTCCTAAATTGTTATTTCAGCTGTTCGTGTCGAGTATTCAACCTGTCACATTTCGTCGGGGGCGTAGACTCTCGTGGTGGCGTCCACAGATTCACAACTCGCTGTATGTAAACGCTTAACTCACGCAATGGAATACACGTAAAATCTTTTTGTTTTCTCTTACGTCTTTATTGATTCATTAGTACATATTGATTGAGTAGTAGTTAGCGTTATGTATAGGCTCCTGGCTCTGAGCTTCGTTTCATATTATTAATTTTTTTTTTTCAATTGATGATGCAATTAGTTTTTGCTTCTTCGTACTAAATGTTAAGAATTTTTGTTGTTGTTGGTTTGTTTGCTTGTTTGTTGTTGTTTTTTTGTTGTTGTTGTTGTTGTTATTTTGTTTTTTGTTGTTTTTTTTTCTTTTGTGTTTTTCGTTTTGTTTTGTTTTGTTTTTGTTTTTGTTTTTTGTTGTTGTTGTTTATTTGTTAGGTTTCATCACGATTTACAAAAACGTAACTGATTTTCTTCTTATTTTATGCTTTATTTTATACGACATCTACATTTACATTTTGATTGACTTTCCTGGCTTTTCTTTGGCTCATTTCTCTCTTGTTAGCTAAAATCAAGATGTTTTCCCGACCCCTAAACTAGAAATGATTTTATCAAAAAGACGAAAAACATACTTTTCAACCCATTTGCAAACTATACAATTTGACTTTTTTCATCTTATTTTTGCTTGAACATTTACTACGAGAAATCTAAAACTTCGTAAACACAAAAAAATTCTTCAAAATTAGGCGATTCAGTAATAAATTTTCAGTGAAAAATAGGTCAAATATTTGAAAAAGAAAAGATGAAAAATAGAGTTTTAAAAGAAGGATTGAATGTACTCCAAGATATTTAAGTAATACAAAAGATTAACATTCATATAGACTCCAACTTCATACGTTGATTTTGTACTATGATCTTAATAATAAGTCCTTTTTAAAAATTTTTCTTTTATTCGAAATAATTATCGAATTTTATGCTAAAAAATTGCTATTCAGCGTTTGAGTTTTAAATATTCTTAATATATAAAAATTGCTAAAATATTAAACTTAATTTAAGCTTTTCAATCTTATCATCATATTTTTAGTTGAATTGAAAAGGTATAGTCACCGTTTTATCGGAAGAAAAAAACAATCATATTTTGAACGATATAGGTTGTCATAAATTGATTGCTTATTTTGCATTATCAGCGTCCAGATTAAACTGCTACATTGACCGTTATCTCAGCTTATTATACTTTGTGATTTTCAAGCTTTGTAGTCGGCGATATATCATTCGAAAAATAAAGACTTACCTCTAAGTATCGCAACTGAAACCGTCGTTACTCGACTCACAGAACTGTAAAGATACTCTAAATCTGACCCGTGCTCTGCTGTGCCATACAATTCAGCTATGTCTTTAGCGAATTTAAAAGCTTTTTAGCCGTTCCTAAACATACTCTTTTCCCAATTAGGAAGACAAAGGCGAGGAAATAACCTAAAACTTTGGATTAGAGTCGTACAATTGCATGGAGTTTAGTGCTCTCAATCGTTGCTTTCTGACGCATTTAGATGCTAAAATAAGGAGGAATCCTGAAATCTAGGATTAAGTGATGGGATGCATGGAACTTTTTGAAAAAAAGAAGAGTTGATTTTTTCCTTAAGTTATGAGCAATCTTCACCAGTAGAAACTCAAACAGGAGAAATGCTCCGTGTCATGAGTTAGCGTTTAAAGCGCATTTGGATTCTTTTCAGTAAGTGAAATATACATATGTAGAATAACAGAACGTCTGGACAGAATCATGAATGCAATATAATGAATGCAAAAGTCAAGACGAAATAAACGAATAGATCTGCCCTTCAGTAGAGTCTTCCTATCACTAAGTAGTAGCTATATAGTCACGTCTAACTATACGTTCGGCACTGACTAGCGTACTATATCTGTATTAAAGAAGCCGAAAAGAATTTCTCACTTCTTTTTATTTATTGGAATAAGCATATGATAAACGTCCATTCGATTAAAAAAATCGGTTTATGTTAGCGTTAATAACGGTTTATTAATACAATTATTATATTTTAAGGCTCTCTTGTTATATTCTAGAATTTGAATAGTTTTCTCTTTTTCCTTCGTATTTATTTGCAATTGGGATATCGGGTCAGATTTGCAGTCAATGGATGATAAATTCTCATTAAACTATCAACTGGTTTTTGTCTAAACATTTGTTCGCTATTTCCGTTACTTTCTTAGTACAGAAACTCATTTTTTCAGCCTATCTAAACCACTGGCAGACTTTAAGTCATTTATTTTCGTCTCATCACCAGATTTTGAAGATTACTACACAAACTTAATCAGTTCAGTAAAAGGACATTATACTATATATATATATATATAAGATTACCTCATTTCGATATTAAATGCTGATCACTCTAAGCATGTCTTTAGCATATTAAAATAATAATTCTGGTAAGTATGCTAAACGAAAAAGGTGTGCTAAATCGTTTCCTATAGTCCATCCAGTCTATCCGCTCTTTATAATTCTTGTTCTTTTGCAAAGGGAACGATTTCTATCAAACTCGTGAACCGCCATTGGCTAAAAAAAGAACAGTTCAAAAGACTAATCTTGGAAGCAGTTTTATAAAAGGGATGTTGATTTCCTTAAAGAAGTATTAAACAAAGAAAGGCTTTATTATAGCGATTATGTAAGGCGTTCTAAGAACCCTAGCCTAACGATCGAACTCGACCCCTTTTGTAAAACCAAAAACATAATACTTATTCAAAATGAAATGAAATGAAAAGGAAACGAATACAAAAAAATGGGACGGAAGAAGGAGATGGAGACTTAACGTTACATTGAAAGGTAACAGAGGAATAAATATTTCCGCGCTTTCTGATTGGTTCTTGCCGCGCGCGCGTCATTTCCCGCTCTTTTTTCAGTGAAAGAAAATAACTAAGGCCAACCGTAAAACTACAGTTTATAATTTGAATAACCAATAATCTCTGAAATCTCTTAATGAATTACTAAGATACAGTTCACAAAATCAAAGGACATCACAAAGTATTAATAATTCAATAAATGTAACTCATTTTTTCTGTTGCTTGACTCAGTGAAAAGTAGTTTCAAACTGTGTTATCAATGGCACCTGATTGATCAAGTTCTGAAATAATATAAAGAGATAACAATAGTAAAAAATATAATTTTTAAATATTTCAAAAATTAACCGCGAATTTTGAATAAAAAATGAATACTATCTTGTGTGTAGAACTAAGAAACAACGATTTTAACACAGTGACAAAACCATTGAATATTAGTTTTTATTTATTATTTTTTCAAAATGTCAGTCACAATCTTTACTATGTGGTACTACTGTTGTCTTCTTAATGACTAGGCGGTTTTTATTGTACTCTGTCATCTTTTGGCCAACATTATATATGTTCTTGGTTGGTAAATATCATAACACAAATATGCTATACCAAAGGCAAGGTGGTCAATAATGATGGAAACCCGTGGAAAACAAAATAATTTTTATTTTGAAACGACACTGAGAATTCTTGATAAATATATATATTTTGTGTCTATATTTTGATATTCAACAACAAGATTAACGGAATTCAGATTTCACTCAAACTTGATCAGCATCCTTTTTTGAAAATCACAAAAGTGAAATGAAAACAAGTTAGATGTTGATTGTAAGGGTCGAAGCAGGATTAGTGGCTTAAGGGCTTACCATCCAGGCTCTTCTTCAGCAATTTCCACTTCCTTTTTTGCTGAATATGTTCTGTCTTTTCTCCTAACAAATCTAAAGAAAGAGGAAGGAAAAATTTATCAGGCTACGTTTGTAATACGCTAATTCTATATATCATATGGTATAGGCGTCTTGTATATGCATCTTGATACGCGAAGCCAAAATGAAATGCCAACGAAATCAATGACAACACAGCAAGGCTAGAGAACTTCCCCGGAAGAACTATGGAGAGGAAGAGTAATATGGCAAAAACAACACTTTGACGAGAGAATGTGTTCTTCAGTACTCACTTACTGTTTTGATACCTTAGCATTTATAAATACGGAAAATAAGATGTCTTTTTCAGGCAAGTGATATTCATATTCTAGTTCGGAAATTGGATTTTCATTATTCAGTAGAGTAATGATTCTGTCTCTTTTGTCCCTGATATGTGTAATGTCAAAAATGCCATTGAGCCTTTGACCACAACTTCTGGGCTCATATTCATTCATCAAAACGAACAATTGAACTTGATTCTACACAATTGCAATAAATTAAGGGGGTGCCACAGAGATCGGTATAGGACCTCCAAAAAGTTCAAAACCACTATAAGCTGCTTAAGTAGGACCTCCAAAAAGTTCAAAACCACTATAAGCTGCTTAAATTCATACTGGTTTGAATTTATGTGTCATCATATATAAAAGAAAGATTATTCAAATTTTCAATTACTGAGTTGCACTAGTGACGTAATTTCGTCTAGTGCGGAATGTTCATCAGCTTAATTCGAATCGCAAGTTTTCAATAGAATTCTTTCTGGCTGACAGCACATGTTGGTCAGTGTTTGAGGTTCAAAAACTTTTATCCTCTGAGTGAAAGCCAGCAATAGGCCTTTTCTGAGTTTGATAAAGAGGATGCATTGTGGTCTAGCCCCAGTACAAACAACACCGTATAAGGCATTATGAAGAAAAGATGTTTGCTACCGAAGCTAGACCAAAATATTCCCTACAATGTTCCGCACCATAAGTGTTCCCTATCTCATAAAAGGTCTATGTTATGGCACCCTTTTTCCCGTTAACCCTTCCAGCTCAGAAATGAACCAATAAAAACGTGCTAAAGCTTAATTTGGCATTGCACACGAGGGAATGTCGTCAACGCTTAACTGATCCGATCCTTGCTAGATGCGATACCAGGGAAAAACATTTGCGCATGCGTGCACTTCAGCACGTTTTCTAAAAATTTTGAAGAGTTTGTGTGAGAAAATAAATGTTTGTTTTCTCCAAGTACCGGTATACAAAAAATTTCGCAAGTATACCCTTGTCAGACCAAGATACTGCATTAACAATCACAATATGAAAGAATTAATTAAGTTTCAAGCATGAACACTAAGTCTTGGCATTTTGTGAAGTCCAATTTATCAGGCATTGAAAGTCAAATTTGCGTATGTATTGAGTAATTTGCATACGGATTCAGAGCATGCGCAGACGTTTTTCACTCGTGTCGCTAGACGAACTGATTTCCCCTAGTGTGGTACGCGTCTAGCCGTTCCATTAAGGTCGAGGAAAAACTGGATCGAGTTTGCATTGCACTGCATTGTGAGGCTTTCTTAGGGAAGGAAATAGAGACCATATTGTAGAGATGTACTGCAATACCAACTGAACACAGAATTATCCGTAACCTTAATTGGAGCAGCTAATTCTATTAACTCGCTTTTTGCTTGTTGGTGCACTGTGCGGTGATTAGCACAGGGAACCCAAGTCCTAACCGATAACTAAAGGAGAAAAGACAGATTGGCCTGTGCGCAAAATGGATCATGACGAAAATTACACCACGGTACTCACTCGACCAGGATGAAAGCTATGGTCATCAATACAGCCATAACGACAAACGTCAACCCTTTCATTCCCACTTGTATGAACAGCGGATAGATTGAGTTAAAGATGAGTGCACCGACCAGCGTGCAAAGCGTTTCCAGGGTAGCGATGGCAGCAAACAAGGAACCTAGAAATGAAATAATAATAATAGATAATATTATTATTAGGATTAATGATATTATTATTTTTTAAATGATAGACCTGTCGTTACGTACTGCAAGTATATAATCGTAAAATAAAATAATAACTTTCGTGCATGGACGAAAAAGTCGGGAACGTGTAACATTAGGATGAGCAATGCTTGCAGTATGTCTTGAAAGAAGAGATCCAAAATTTGTTTATCAAAATTAGTTGTTGAAGCATTATTTTAATGACTGAAAGACGTAGAGCAGTCGACTTCTACTTTTCGTAAGGATTGTAGCAATGATTTCGAGACAATTTTTAAAGTAAAACCTTCGTCGGCGCAGTGACAACGCATGGAAAAGTTAAAAGATCCCCCCGCCTCCACCCCCACTGATTTTATTACAGTTTGGATAACTTCGAATGTGAGGTTCATGTTTTACCTTGTTCGTCTGGGTCAACCATCTTAGACATCATTGCTCTTATTGTTGGCGTAGGGATTCCACCGAGACAGGCTACAAATGGAACTAGAAAAAAAAAGCAGTCAGTCGGTCAGTCGGTCAGTCGGTCAGTCGGTCAGTCGGTCAGTCGGTCAGTCGGTCAGTCTGTCTGTCAGTTCTTAATGTTTCAATT